GTATAGTCCACTTTTAAAACTAGAATACTGAGGCTGGAGAAGAGTCTTGCCAATAGCAGATGCACAAGAGTTAAAATCCAAGATTCCCTAGTGGCAAAAACTGAGTGACCTGTGTGTACACTTCTGAACTACCCTATTATTAGATTTACTTCAAGCAAAACTGTACCTTTTTAACAATGGAAGGGAGTCTACACTACAGATGGCTTTAGTTTGGGACTATAAAATACTCCCAGTTGCCCACCCCACACCTCCACTGTTGCCTTGTGGGGATTTGAGGCAGAAAGTCAGCTGGGGAAGCCAGCGAGGAAGAGTCAAGAGTTATTAGCTGGGGAACTGTATGGTGTTAACAAAACCAGGCTCTGCCCTAATAGGATTAACCAAACAGCTGTCACTGCATGGAAAGGGACAGGGGCATAATCGTGAGCCATGTGACCAGCATGGGAATAACAATACTTCAATAAGGTTGACTTGGCCTCCATTCTTCCATCTCTTGCATTTACATTTAAAATTTTGATTGATGTCTTTGTCATGCTTGTCCCCAAGGAGCTTTTGTGCAGGTTCCTTTTGTTTTGGTGTGTCTATTTTATCATGAGATCCATCTTTATGTGTTCAGAAATGAGGTCTTACAGCACACTAAAGTTCATCTGAAAGGCGCCACCCATTAGCACCATGAAAAGAAGTTGTATCAGTCACTTTTCTCATTGCTATAACCAAATGCCTGACCAAAGCAACCTGGGAAGGAAGGATTAATTTTGGCTCACAGTTGAGGGACTGTCCAGCCACCAAGACTGGGAAGCCATGATAGCAAGAGCCTGAGTCACATGGTAGTCACAGTCAGGCGGCAGAGAGCCATGAGGTGAGGGCTCAGCTCCATTCCCATTTTTATTTGGTGTGAGACTTTAGTCCATGGAATGACACCTCCCACATTTAGAGCTGCTCCTCCCTCCTCAACTAACCTAATGCAGAAGCCCCCTCACTGACACGCTTTGATGTTTGGGAAAAGTCAACACCAGGACGGGGTTCTTAGATATAAGTGCTGTCTTGACAGAGGGGATGCTGAGAGCACGGGGTCTGTAGGAAACAGCAGTATGTCATCAGCTTGGGGTCAGAAAGGGTGTTGAAAGGAGACACTGCCTGAAGGCTGATCTGAGAGGACAAAAGTTGGCTGGTTGATCTTGATCGAGTGAACTCAACACAAGAAAGATTCTGGCAAGAAAATAAACAGAAGAAAGAAGCAAAGACCAAACATTTTAAAGTTATTAGTATTATCTGATTTTTAAAATTCACAGTCACCCTAGTATTTTTTCATTAGAGAAAATTGAATGTCCTCCCCCAAACCCCATGGTACCTCCGGAGTCTGAGGTGCCTGGCTGTCCTGTGGATGTAGTCTTTGGGGGCCTCTGTGACTATGAGCAGGCTAAAACTGCAATACTAGAAGACAGATCCCGCACTGCAGAGTAAGACTGGAACCGAAACAAACAAAAACCAAGAAGTCTGTGGGCTCCACTAGTTACTGTGTTGGCTGAAGATTGCTTCCTGAGAGTCAGGCAGAGAAGGTATCCACGGTTAGTCCACAGGCAGGGCCAGGTAACAGCTGCTTCTCTGCAAGGAGGAAGCAAGCAGGAATACAAGCGCAAACCATTATCATTTTATTTCCAGTTGCCAACTCTTGAAATCTAGTAAGAACGTTCTATGGTCATTATTCACAACCCCAGAGATTCTAAAGTGCAATTATCATACTAATACCTAAATTAAGAGTTCACACGTAACTCTGATGGAAGTTGGCATTATAGAAAGAGTGAGGGGGAAGGAATAACCAGGAAGGACAAATAGGGCCAGCAGCACTTCCCTTATATTTGAACAGACACACTGAGAGAAGAACGCACCCAAACGACAACTTCATTGATGAGGAGAGATAGCTCGCCCCACCCACTGTGTTTACATTTGCCATTGTTCCAGCCTGTGATGTTTTGTTTACTTCAGAAGGAAATATTTTACCCCCTCTGAGATAATTAATTTTTGTCAGCTTCACGGTTTTTAAGGGAAACTGAGAAACTGTTAATTGAAATACAGAATGAGTCACTGTTTTCGGTAATTTTTGGCAGCGTTCTAATTTGTGTCAATCCCAGCCTAATTATTAGATTTTGTTGGAAGCAGAAAGCATATTTGATTTTTTCTCTTATTGAACTCTTTTTTTTCCCTATTTTTTTTTCTTTGAAATATGTGCTCTCTGGCAAAGGTTATGTAATTTATGTCAATGTAAGGTGAAACGCAGATACATCTGAAACGCTGCGAGGTTCATTGCGTCATGCTTGGCTCAGTGCCTCAATATTTACAAAGCCTGTAGACTGCAGTCTTCCAGCCTTGCTCCTGCCTACCGCAAGCCCCTGTGAGAAAATGTGATACTTTAAAAGACCTTCTCACTGGTGAGAAGCTGCCGTCTATGGACCATCACTAATGGTATCACGGAAGTGAATTTCCCAGAAGCCATCAGGGAGGGTTCATTTGGAAATCCAATTGAATGTCACTGGCAAAGGGCAGGCACCTAGTAGAGGTGGCCAGTCATGCATCCCGAGCTGTTGGTTGTAAAAGCATTAATCACCATGAACTCATTTACTCCTAATGCAAACATACTGAATTATTCCACAGGCATTCTGTTCCCAATGATCATTAGTGCAGACAACAGGGAGCTTCTGGTTGTGGGTGAGGTTAATAAAATCTGTCAGCTCAATGGCCAGCATAATGGACCTGTTAATGACTCTTAATAGAAGCTGGATTCTTCCTTCCTACTGCTGCAGAGCAACGGAAGGAAGAGAGGCAGGTGTCTACACAGGGCAGACAGCTCTGTCCCTTAGCTCCCATGGTGGCTTCTAGTTAGAGACAGCACTGAGATCAGTCACTGAGTATAATCAGGAATCAGAATCTGTTGTGTCTGGGAGTTTTGGTGCCTGTGGTGGGCAAAGAAGGGAGTCCCCAGGATGACCCAAGATGGTTCTGCTCTCATCCTCTCAAATGCCTGCTGTAGCTGCTTGCAAAGTCATGAATACCCCAGACCCTTCTCCACCCTGAATCCACCCATAAGAAGGCTATAATTCACAATAATGTTAGCGACAACCATGGCAGGTGGTCACCAGATGCTGCCAAGGACCTAGGACTAAATGATGTGAGTCTACCAAAAGTGCTCACGTAGTGTCCCCATTTGACAGCAGGGTAGCCCCAGCCCAGAGGTCTTCAACTACTGCCCCGAGGTGACATTCAGAAGGTTATGCCCATAAGCACCATGCTTCTTCATTGGAGGAACACACAAAAGCAGCAAACTGTACTCAGACTCATAGAAAGGTACAGGGCACAAGAGAGAATATAGAACTTCCTACATTGTGTGTCCATCTAGTCAGTCAGCACATGCAGGACCAGTTTCAAGCAAAGTGCATATAAACTATGCTACCTTCCATGCCTTGTTACTACAACACAGGATCCCAAGCCCTTAGGATGCTCGGCTGTTCAGTGTCACCCATTTGTGACCCTGGCTGGGACACTCCAGCCAATGATGCTCTCACTCCATCCTTAACATTGCTCCTTACTACTCTAGTCCCACATGTTACAAAACTGGTCACCTGAAGCTCATCTTGATCTCCTTGTTGGGTCCTAGCTGTAAGGTACAAAAGAAGCTACCAACTCTTGTGGGGGACTCCTGAACACAAGTCTTGTGAGATTGACAGTGAGGAGTGCCCTGAGCCAGAGACCTGAGCTCCAGCCCCATAGGCTAGGTAGAAGCACACAGACCCTCCCAAACCCTGAGGACTCTGTGACTTGGGTGCTGATAACCACCAGGACTTATCATCAGGAGGCTTTGGATGCAAGGGCCTGCAAAGAACGATGTAAACCAGGCTACAGAGTCACAGAAGGGCTCTGTAGTCTCTTCAGTAATGAAGGGAGCATTGTGTATAGACCGCCAGGGACTGAACCTAGAGCAGCTTCCAAAACCCAGAAGGGAGCAACCCCGGCAGTTTTTAACCATCAACCTCATCTCTAAAGGGGCACTTCCTTGATTGTGTTTTTTTTTTTTAAATGGGGTTTGAAGTATTTGAAAGATAAGACAAAGCAGATGGTTATAAAGAGGGAAGGTATGGGGAGGAAGATGGGCTTAGGGAGTTTCAGAAGGAGCCTTATGAATACTCCACAGCACCTACCATCCCCAGCAGGCCTGAGCTCAGCAATGACTGCAGTGGGGGAACACAGAAAGTGTGGGATGTGTTTTCTGCCCCACACCCGTGCTTATGGGTGCACAACTTCAGTGTGAGACTACATGGCACCAGATATAACAGCAGCGAATCAGGAGAAATTAGCAAGAGGGAAAATTCACAGAGAACACCACAGAAGATTGCATTAGTTGTCAGGAGCACGGATCCATGCACGCACATAGAGGGAAAAGACACTTATGGAGCACGATGAGGCTTCTGGATTGAGAACAGCATGCAGAGTACAGAGAATTCTGAGGGACACTGCCCTGTCCAAGTGGAGAAAGAAAGTATCTATGGGTATATACATAAAGGAAAGTATGTGCCTGTGTATGTGTGTGTATGTGTAAGACTGTATTTGAGAAAGTGTATGAATATACAAGCTTAGTGTGTGTGCACGTGTGCGTGTGTGTGTGTGTGTGTATATGTGTGTGTATGTGTGTGTGTGTGTATATGTGTGTGTATGTGTGTGTGTGTGTATGTGTGTTAGGAGAAGAGCACAGCAGGCAGCAGGCAAGGCCAGAGACGATGGTAGTACATTTCAAAGAGCCTTATAACCCCCAGAGGAGTTTAGACTAACATAGCAGGTAACTGGGAGCCGCAGGAGGGCCTTGGGCACCCAAGGAGAATGACCTAACTCAAGTGTTGCAAAGGTCAACCTGGCAGTGTACAATTGGATAGACTGGAAAGGGACAAGGGGACTATGTGCACTTTGAGAAGTAAGGGAGCCCTCCTTACAGTTTGTCGTATTTCCTCCTGTAGCATACCTCCATATTGCCCTTCTCACTGGCTGAAGCCGTTCTCAGACCACACCACTATCCATCGAAGAAGCTAGGACTCGCCTTGTTGGGTGCTTGTAACATCGCCTACATTATCAGGTAAGAATTGCACAGAAAGGGTCAACTGAAACTTGCCATTGGCGACGCACATAAACATTCCATAAAAGTATAGCATTATTGTACTTAAGTACTTCTGTTGGTTTAGTTGGTGATCTAACCCATCTTTAAATTTCCAGAGGGAAAGGGTTCTTATTGTTTGATTTTAATACTCATGAAAAGCTCATATTCAGAGGGGACACACACACACACACACACACACACACACACACACACACGGTAAGCTACAACTTCCTTATTCTCCCTTCATGAAAAGTAATTATTGTCAAGAAGCACACAGCATGTGTTTCCAAGAATATATTGACTTCAGTTTCATTTGCAATTAGAATATTTGAATGAATGAATGATCCAAAGCATCCATATGTACTCCATCTGAAAAGGCATTTGGCAGGTGGAACCAGATTCCCTGCATCATCTTAGGCCTCAGATATGATCACCTAGAGGGCAGTTGCCCAAGATGTGAAGAATATGGGAAATGAATCAAGTAACTGACCTTGATTTCATCATTCAATCACTCTTTGTAATGCTGCCCAATGGTCTGCAATCAAGGGCATGCATATGACCCTCTGTCTGGTTCTTGAGGAAGCCCAGTGCCCTTTCACAGCTTCTTTCTTTTCTTTGCTTGTTTGTTTATTCTGAGACAAGGTCTTATGTAGCTCATGGTGGCCTCAAACTCTCTATATGGCTGAGAATAACCCAATGATCTTCATTTTGGATCTTCCTACCTCTACTTCCCAAGTGATGGAATTACAGAAGTGTATAACTGTCTTCGTTAGGGTTTCTATTGCTGCAGAGGGACACCATGACCATGGCAATCCCTATAAAGAAAATATCTAATTGGGGCTGGCTTACAGGTTCAGAGGTTTAGTCCATTATCATTATGGCAGGAAGCATGGCAGCACACAGGCACACATGGTTCTAGAGAAGGAGCTGAGAGTCCTATATTTGGATTGTCATGCAGGAGGAAGAAAGTGATACTCGACCTGGCTTGAGCATCTGAAACCTCAAAGCCCACTCCAAGTGACACACAAGGCCACATCTCCTAGCAGTGCCATTTTCCAGGAGCCTATGTCAGCCATTTCCATTCCTATCACCCCAATTACCTTGCCCAGTTTTATGGTACTAGGATTGAACTGAGGCCCTCATGCACAGTAGGCAAGCACTCTACCAATGAGTATATCCCCAGCCCTACTTTTCACAGCCTTCTCATATGACACCATTTCATGTCTGAAAGGGCCATACCATCCATGCATAGGACCTGAATACAGAACACACGGCAGTCTGGATCATCCTCCCGAGTCTTTATATGGAAAGCTATTTAGTACAGTGCTCTATTAACAATGAGAGCAAAGCACAATATAACATTTCAAAGAACCTGGGAGGTGTGGTAGTTTGAGTGCAATTGACCCCCATAAGCTCAAAGAGAATGGCACTACTGGAGGTGTGGCTTTGTTGAAGTAGGTTTGGCCTTGTTGGAGTAATATGTCATTGTGGAGGTAAGCTTTGAGGTCTTATATATGCTCAAGCCATGCCCAGTATCTTAGTTCAATTCCTGTTGCCTGCAAGATGTAGAACTCTCAGCTCCTTCTCCAGCACCAAGTCTGCCTGCATACCACTACATCCGCCATGATGATAATGGACTAAACTTCCAAAACCTCCAAAAAGTCATCCAGTTAAATGTTTTCCTTTATAAGAGTTGTTGTAGTCATAGTGTCTCTTCATAGCAATAGAAACACTAACTAAGACAGGACAGGACATCTCAGGGCCTTCAGTGACACATTTTTCATATAAGTTAACAGCTTGGTACCCAGAATTCCATGACCCTTCTTTCCTTCCTATAATCTTCCCATCTTCTCCCTACCCTTCCTCATCGCCTCCCCCTCACCCCCAAGTGCTAAGGTCTTTCTTGCTTTTCTCTTAAAGAAAGTTCTTGCATAATATAATTTCTCTGAGAATTAAGTGTTCTGTACTGTTCTCCACGCTTTGGGGTCTTTGAAGTTTAACAAAGGGATACTTTAAGAACACAAAGCTCTACCTAGGAACCCGTTTTAGTCAACACCAGGACCATTGTACTAAGAAAGATCCTGAGGCCATATTGTATGATGTAGATACTGAGGACACAGGGAGGTACAAGAAGCCCATGGCTCTTAGAGACTATTGGGAATGAGAAGCGGCACAGGACAAGGAAGACACAGTGATAAAACTGGTGGTAGGGTGACCAGGGTGCTGCAGCTGACGGTCAAGGCTGGCTTCTAAAGGGAAGAATCATTTCAGCTGAGATCTGGAGTAAGAGTAAGAACTCAGAAGAAACGAGAGAAACAAATAGTCAGGCTGAGGGAACCGCTGCCCTGGAGCACCAAAGGAGGCGAGCGCAAAGCTGAATTGGAGGATAGGGACAAGTTAGGCCATGAGTCCAGCTCAGTGAACTTGCATTTACAAACGGAGTGTTTTTCTGGTATAAAAAAAAAAGATTTAAGCAGGATTACAGAGTCAGTAAGTACCGTGAGTTAAGTACAGAGGTAGGTAAGGCAACCATGGCTGGAGTGTGGAAATGGAACTAAGGAAGACCAGAAGTAGAAACTCAGGAGAGTCAATGTCAGTCAAATGCTCAAACACCACAATTAGTCTCAGAGCACAAACAGAGGATGGTAACTTATCTATTGGCCGGCCTCTGAACACTAGGGTTCCGATGACTTAGATGCCATGCTCAAGGTCATGAGGTCATAAGGCAGAGGGATCTAGCCAGGGAAGGAACAAGAACAAAACCTTAGGAAAGATTTGAAAGTGCTGAGACTAAGGCAAACTTTATGCCCACCTACTCACCCAGCCTCCAGCATGGTGGTTTTGTACACACTGGGAGCTGAGCAGGCTCTTGGCCTTGTGTGCACTATGGAGAAAGAATCAGACCCAGCTTTGTACTGGAATAAATGGAATACAAGTATACCTGAGGGCATTTTGTTGTCCCAGAGTAGACACTTCCATAGTTCAGTCCAGCCCCCAGTAAGAGGGCATGAGATCCTTTGCTGCCCGCTAGCCCTGCCCTGTTAAACAAAATGCACCCTCGTGAGCACACATGGTCATAGGAAGTTCCCTAGTGGTAGACGCCCATGGAGAAGTGCTCTAGGTCAGCTCTTAGGGTGTGCCCATTGAGATGGGCAGATAGGGAGACAGAAAAGCAAGAATGAGGTCCTGAACGCGGGCTGGGCCACAGGGAGCATGAGAAACAAACAGGAGTCTGCAAGGAGCTGCTGCTAACTCTGCACCAGAGACATCATTCTGATAAAACCATGGAACAATGGCCTAAAAATAGCTGCCTAGACCCCTGGGGACTGCCTCCCCTGTGCTGTTCACTTTTTGCTACTTTTTAGGTTGCAAAATTGGAGGTTTGGCCCTGCAGAGGGAAAACAAAGCCCTGCAGAGCAGTGATGACTAACGGTTCCTTTCCTTTGGAAAGCTTCCGTCACCTACAAATCTGGTGTCTTGCTTACACCTCCCTGCTCTCTCTCTCACCCCCGAGACACCTTGCCTCACTCTGTCTGTGGCAGTGGTGATGGGTGAAGCAAGGAATGTTCCTGCTGCTGGCCTTGTTCCATTTTAAAAATGGGATTTGAACACATGTTTCCCCTAATACAGAGCTGGTTCTGCTAGGAAAAGTGAGGTCATATAAGGCCAGGCTCCAGCAAGCAGGGGACTGATATTTAATAAGGGGAAAAGAGCTGTGCATACAGACTACAGGAGCCTGGGCTGGGAAGTGAGAAGATGTAATCAAAGCAAAAGAAGCTGTAAGAACACGGAGAAGGAAGGGACAGCAGGAGGAAGGCATCGTGAAATGTACTCATAGGGTCTGAGACCCCAAATACCACGCAGAGTTAGAACTGTGACAAGCTGTTCACACTGACTGCGTCCACAGTCAGCAAGCGGAGAGTGGTAAATGCTTGTGAGTCAACTGAATTTCTCCTTCTCTACAGTCCAGGGTCCCAGACTACTGAATGGTAGGTACCACTCACTTTCAGGGCGGGTCTCCTCACCTCAGTCAACCTAATCAAGACAATCCCTCTAGTCATGCCCAAGAGGCTAACCAAATCAGAATAATTCATCACAAGTACGTTCAGGGGCTTGTCTCCTGAATGACTCCAGTTTTATAAGGTTAACAGTCAGCATTAACTACCACATTCCTCAAGAGTAACAGTATTTAAGCCCATTCCTCACGCACACAATTATAAATCATATTCCAAGAATATTACATGTTGCTAAGAGCTGAACCAAGCTGAGTTCAGATCAGCTGGCCATACCCACTCTTAAAATTCTCTCCTTTTCCAATTATTGAATCATGGTAAAATCTTTCCAAGAGCCACTGTTTGCTATTTCTGAAATGTAACCTCCATCTAGAACCAGCACAGTCAAACCCAGTTTTATAGCATTTACCAGAATTGTTCTAGTATTAATAAAAACTAGTGAGTCAGAAATTGAGATTCAAAACCTGATAAATCCAAGGAACAGGGGAGGGATGATAAGTTGACTCTACTCACCACTTACCCACCCCCCAATCTGAAAAGCCCCATAAATCCTGTCAGCCCCTCCTCCTCTCTTCCTGTCCCTCTCTATCCAACTTTCTCAGTCTTCCAACATCTCTATGGTTAAGCCTGGTCGGCCAATCACTGACTCCATCCTTGATTCAAGTTAGCTTTATTTGCACAGCGGAGTGACAGTGTGAAAAATTCTTCCACAACACGGTTTGTAGACTCAAATCTTAGCAAGGGTTAGAATCCCAGCCCCATTTTCTACGGTGGTACTCACCAGTCATCATGCTGATATATGAAAATAACTATCAGGATGTCACACAATGCACCTCTATTACCAGCATTTAGGGGTGGGTCTCTGGGGGTACAAATTAAAAAGTAATTATAGTGCTTGTAACAGAAACTAGAAATACAACACTGTAAAGAAGGCACCAGATTCTTTTGAAATGAAGAATCTATCAG